GACTGTACAGGGATATCAAGGGTATATTTCGCTGTGTTGCACCATACGTAACACAAGTGTTCGGGGAATGTTATGTAGGAGACTGACACGAAGGCTGACGTGTCGAGCCTGAGGACCCAGTCGCCCCTATGAGAACGTGGTGATGCACACAAGTAGTTGTATGTGGTGAGGGTGTCGCAAGGATACCTTACGCCCCTTCTTTTGGGTAGGAGTGTCCCCGTTGGAAGTGTAGTGTCTCGTCCAGCCTTTCGAGGCTCAAAACTTGCCGGTTGTTGATGGATCCCGATCCGCCCAAACTACCTGCCTCTTGTGTGTGAGTCCCGACCTTGTTACGCGTCTCTTCGTCGGTGTTTCGTGTCTACAGTAGTCTGCACTGGCTGTCGGTTTCGTTTGCTTGAGAAGAATTTGTGTTTGTCGGTTCGTGCGCAACAAGATTTGAGTGCCTGGTGTCGTTTTGCAGCAGCGGCTCGGGGGTTGGAGAAAAGTCACGCAATTTCCGGCGTGTAGCTGGCGGCAGCCAAATGTTTCGCCCCGACCGAATGGACGACCGGCAGCGGTTGGAAGTCATTGCCTACAACACGCCGATGGCCGGGCGGTATTTGAGCAGAACATATGCGCCACTAGACTAACTTGTGACCGTGGCGGGTACATCGGCAGGAGGAATTGACGTCCCTTGTTTCCACGGAGGGCGACAATAGGAGGGCGATGGCAAGCAGAAGTCTTGACTCGGTGCAACGACGCCCAGTTCCACAAGCGCGCGCGGGGGCGGTATTTGGGTGCACTAAATCAATGCCAGACATGGATCTCTTGCCTTTTGTCCTTTCGCCTGTTGCTGCGCGGACGTACAAAATGGAGTACCACGGCAGAGCATCTCTACACTCTGCTCTGCTAGATAACATCGTGGACCCCGGTGTTGCTTATAGCCAATTGGTGCACAGCCTCGCACAAGAGAGTGGTTGTCCCACGAGGGAGGGGAGCCCTGAAAAAAAACACAAGCATGCTTGTACAACCAACCAACCTTCAGGCCCAACAACACTCGACTCGACTTCCTTCAACCTAACAGGAGCATCCGATTCGTTCGGCACGTTGTACAAAGGTCGCATCTCGCGAGACCGTAGCCAAATCAGAGTCCTGGCCCGCCAAGCAGCCCGAACCGTTGCCACTAGTTGATAAAATTACCCCGACTGCTTCGAAGGAGCTAGGAGTTTCTTCTCAACCCCGATCACGAAACGGCACGAGCGGTGTCATGCCCATGCTCGGATACGCTTGCTCCGTTCAAGGTTGCACAGTCCACTCTTCAAAGTCTATTCATTGGGCCAACACCATCGTGTAGCCGCTACAGCCTCAGGTATCATGCTTCAGCAAGCTTCGCCACGTTCTGCTCCAATAAATTTGCGTCCGCCCCTGACATGCTGTCGATCTCCTGTCCTCCCTGCGACAAAGCGCATACCGTAATACGTGCGTAGATTCATCCGCGGATCAGCATGGAACAGGAATAGCCATGGTATTGTTTCGGGCGAAGAATAGCGTCATTTCACGCACACTTTACATTAGACAGTAACATTTGAGTGGGCGTTCCGCAATGTGCCTGAATATTAGGAGCAACTGCCAGGTACAATCAGTGCCAGTGCCAGTGAATCTGGCGGGCTCACACCGACACTACTGTAGAACCCACACTGTTACAAAAACCACCACAACATCGCCTGGTTAGAGGCTTTTATTATTTAATTCATTCCCAACCGCAGGCAGAACGAATACACCCAACACAAGTTAAGCCAAAGTATCGGAAGATATGTTGTAATATTGATGTATTGTAACGTTTTGTACTCTACACTTTGCCATACTTGATTTTGGGGAAAGACATGGCATTTCTTTACTTGTCCTCCAAAAACCACAAGAATGATTAATTTCAAACAAAAAACACATACTTTCTTTTATACTCGAAGTACATACTTACACTTAATACTTGATAAAAAAAACACTGACTTTTCATATTCATCTCTTGCGTCAGCTAACAGGTATATACTGCCAACCAAACGAGAATGCTCAATATTTGAAAAAAAAACACATACGTGAGTGTTCATCTCTTGCGTCAGCTAGCAGGTATATTGATATTGCCAACCAAACGACGCGAACAAATGATATTTAGAGCGGGTGCAACATCATGCGCAAGTCAGGCCACCAAGGCTTCCATGTAGTTGGAGAAACGGAAGGACTAACGAGGAATAACGCAATAGTTCTGTCCATGCCGTGCACACCGTGCACATGTTGCAAGCCGGTTGAGAGCAGAGTGAAAACAACCAAATAGCGCCTTGCTGAGAACTTGGCGACTGATTCCCCCCCGCCCGCCCGTAGCATGGATGTATAGAGTGGCGGCACAGCCAAAGCATGCAGAAGCAAACACAGGTGTATCCTCAACAGCATCTACGCAAAATCGCCGGTATGACAAAGTACGCTAGACTTTCAAAAAACAACGTATATTTCCGTCGAAGTTCAATGAGCTTTTGTAAAGAGTACGTGTGCCTTGTGGTACACATTTGCCGGATGCTCTATCGGTTGCTGCGGAAGCATGCGACGCCAAGCAGAATACATGGGAAGCAACCAAAAGTTTTAGGACATGATCTTGACTTCTGGCACACGAAACACATTGCAGGGAAGACCTCTTGCGTCACTAGTACTCCGATCATTCGGAACGTTTTATCCGACTCTGTTCGAAACTTATTCTCGGTCCTCGAGAATAAGCTACCATTTCGGCTCTCAAAATGTTCCTCCACATGACGACTCCTCGGCTCCTTGGTACAAAATCGCCATGCGTGCAATACGGCCCCCAACTCCAACTTAGTTGCTGCTGCTGCTGCTGCTGCTGCTGCTGCTGCGGTTTGCTTGCCTTGAAGAACTTAAAAGTGGGCACCGACTTGATGTGGGCCATTTGCGCCGCCTCCTCGTTGTCGTCGATGTCAACCTTTCCAAATGAAACCGCCGGAGTCTCCTCGCTCAGCTCCGCCAAGAACGGACCAATCCTTCGGCACGGCGGGCACCACTTTGCCGTAAAGTAAAGGACGCTCTTCTCTCTGTCAACGGAAATCAGGGAGGGGGGTGGGAGTCGAAAACACAAGCATCGACACCAAGTGTACCTAGTACATACGGAGTATGCATAGAAGAGAAGGGGCATGCAGCACTGCTGTGTTGTGCGGGGTCAGTTGTTTGTTGTCCAACGGTGTGTGATTATTAATGTGGAAAAATTACTTGAGTAGGAGGCAGGCGGCAAGCAAAGGTGAGCCTAACTTGTTTGTTTTGTAGCAGAGCCATCAGAGAGCACGGGTATTTATGTGCCCACATGTGGCCTTTCAGCTTGCAGGACACGGCGAGATGTGTAGAATGATGTCGGCAACCAACTGCTGTGTCTGGGTGTGAACTACGAGACCTGCAGGCGGGATTTTTAGCTTCGTCTTAATCGTGCACCACGAAACTTTCCTCATTCCCTTAATTCCATTTAAGGCAGCGAAATGGCACGCCGGTGTGCTGGAGCAGTGTCGTGTGTGTGTCTTTACAATAAGCGTGTTTGGCGCTACCCGGCCGACCAACGAAATTATGTAAGTCTTGCTGTACATCAGTGTGGCTGAAAATAGAAGGCACTTCTACAGGCCACAATCTGGGACCCCGCGAGTAGGCGTCATGCGTATTTTCTTCACGAACTTTGTTCTTGTGCGCTACCACAGCGTACGTTTGTTTATGTGATCCTTGTCCAGCTAATCAGCGACCTAAGCGCGTTGGGTCAAGGAGGTCTACATACACTGAGCAGCCGAGCAAGCAGCCAGCAGCACATGGGCTCGAGCAGAGAACCGCCACAAGGGGGGCCCATGTAGATGTCAGAGACTCAAGCAAGTTAGTAGCCGGCAGAGCCAGGACGACGTCCCATCGCTCACTCATACTTCCTCTAGTTGTCAAGGTTGATCTCGGCTATTGTACGGTGTGCGCCACGTGCAAAAAAACACGCACACACGAGCGTGCATCCGCGGAAGGTGGGTTTTCTAGTCAGCGTTTTCGTTGAAACGGTTCTACAGCAGCTGGAAAGCAGATGAACCGCTCTTGAACAAGCCCCACAGCCAACGACAAGTTTTGGTTTCAGAAAATGCATGCGAAGATAGGAATACAAGAACTGGGTGCATTCGAGACGATACCCGAGTCCAAATGGAAGAGCTAATTTTTCCCGATGCGATGGTTGGTTCCGGACGGCACACTCGCAACTTGGCTGACGTTTCCC